TCACCCCGGAGATGGGGTGGCAACCACCCCCTAGGCTTTGGCACACTTTGGTTCGATATTAGGCTATTACCTACCTTCTGTTAAATTTCAAGTCAACCCACGCAGCACGAAAAAATTGCGAGGTGAAATGCTTAATTTCCTGGACTATAACTGGTTTGACAGCATATTAAAATCGTAGATTTATGTGTAGCTTTCAATTTTTATGAGTTCAGAATCCAGCAGCCCTCTGAAGTATTGGATTTTTATAATATAATTATTTGACAATCTTTTGTTGGCCAACCACCTACAGCAGAATTGAGCCGAAATACATTATATTCCTATGTTCCGAATTTATTTCGTTCAATCTGTATATATATATATATATATATATATATAATATATATATATATATATATATACCCGAACATCTAATCGAAACTATTTTCAAATCAAGACTCAATAAATTTTATAACAATACAACTAACAACAAATCAAACAGTATCAAAACCACTTATACGACTCTTCCATATATAAAAGGTTTATCCGAACAACTAACAAATATTTTAGCCAAACAACCTCTTAAATAAATATTTCGCAAAACTAAAAACACTAACTCCAAAACTTAAAAAATCACACGTTGTTTACGAGAACCATGTACTAACTGTGAAGGTGTCTATGTCGGTCAAACCAGTCAACTGCTTCAATCCAGAATTCGTTCTCACAAATACGACAAGAACAACGTCACTGCGCTCACAAAACATAAAAGCGGGAAGAAGCATAAATTTGATTTGGAAAACATCAAAATTTTAAAAACAGAAAAAAACAAAAAGAAGAGGGAGATATACGAATCAATAGAAATAAAAAGAAACACCAACGCAATAAATGACAAAAAAGATACATAAAACCTAAATAAAATATATTTCAATCATATTTCACTCATATAAAAATAATTATCTACTAATGGCAGTAAACAATGAGATATCAGATATCAACTTTTATATGTCAGTTCGTTAATGTCTGTGTCACGTTTTACGTTTTGGTAAGTCATATATGAGGACGCTGTTAGAGGACAGAATTAGCAATACTCAATTTGGGTTTAGGAGTGGCTTGGGCACAAGAGAAGCCTTGTTTAGTATACAGGTGCTAGTACAGAGATGCAGAGATATAAATCAAAATGTGTATATTTGTGCAATCGATTTTGAAAAAGCTTTTGACAAAGTCCGACATAACAAAATGCTAGAAATATTGGAAACAGCTGGATTGGACGATAAAGATCTACGAATAATTAGAAATCTATACTGGCATCAAGTGGCAAGAATAAAGGTTGAACAAGAACTGTCGGATGAAATAAATATAAAAAGAGGAGTGAGACAAGGCTGTATATTGTCGCCTTTACTTTTTAACTTATATTCGGAGGAAATATTTAAGGAAGCCTTAATGGAGACAACCGAAGGTATTATTGTGAATGGAGTAACCGTCAACAATATTAGATATGCCGACGATACCTTAGTCCTTGCCAATTGCGGAGAAGACCTTCAAAATCTAATGAACAAAATAAAACAGACTTGTGATCAGTATGGATTAAAACTCAACGTTAAGAAAACTAAATATATGATAGTTAGCAAACAAAATTATATACATGATGACGGTATAAAAGTCGGAGATGCCACACTGGACAGAGTAGAGAAACTCGTGTATCTCGGCAGTAATATCAATGAGAGCTGGGATCCAACCGCAGAAATTAAAAGCCGAATAGAACAAGCCCGAGCTGCCTTTGTAAAAATGAGAAACGTACTTTGCAGTCATGATCTTAGCATTGACCTTAGAGTTCGTATGATATCTTGCTACATCTTTCCTGTCCTGCTGTATGGAGTAGAAGCGTGGACCCTAACTGAGGCTATGCTTAAACGCTTGACATCCTTTGAGATGTGGGTATACAGACGACTACTGAAAATAAGCTGGGTCGACAGAGTTAGAAATGAGGAGGTCCTTAGACGGCTGAACCAAACAACACAACTGGTCAATATAATAAAGAAACGCAAGCTGGAATACTTCGGTCATATTATGAGACACCCTGAAAAATATGATCTTTTACATCTGATCATTCAGGGAAAGATCCAAGGTAATCGTGGTCCTGGTAGAAGAAGAACATCATGGCTGAAAAATCTAAGGCAATGGTATGGAAAATGAACTACATCGTTATTTAGAGCTGCTGTCAATAAAGTCACGATAGCGAATATGGTAGCCAACATGATATCCAACGATCGATAGCGGTCATGGAACTAGAAGAGAAGAAGAAGAAGAAGTCATATATATATATATATATATATATATATATTATATATATATATATATATATATATATACATATTTTACAATATCTGTTTGTCCTTTGCAATCATTGATTTCAATAGAAAATAATAAAATCTAGGTCCACATGTAACATATCTTTATTGAACCTAAACCCAAGAAACATTAATTTTATATTAAATATATATATATATATATATATATATATATATATATATATATATATATATATAATTGATCACCGCTGCCGCCGCTTCTCCGCCCCCAATTTCCACCTTTTTCTGTCATATGCAGTTGCCTCTTCTAAGCCTCTTGCCGCCATTGCTTCATCAATATCGTTGCGCTAACTTCTCCCTGATCGTCCTCTCTTTCTACTTTCAGGAGGGATCCATTCCAGTACTCTTTTAGGCCATCTGTACTCTGGCATTCTTTTAACATGTCCGAACTATATTAATTGTTTTCTTTCTATGTCATCATTGATATTTCGCTCCATTTTCATTTTGTTTCTAACTCTCTCCAGTTTCGGTTGTACTCAAATTGATGGTAATTTATATGGTAAGAGACTCAAATTAAATCGAAACGCAACCGCCTTTGTATAAGTATTAAACATCTTTTTTAATCTAGATTAAAAAAGAAACTAAATGAGATGAAAAGAAATATAGATGTAGAACAAGAATACAACAACCTCAAAACGATAATAAAAAAAATGCTTATGAAGTATAAGGAACAGAGAACAACGACAAAAACACCACGAACCACCATGGATGACAGAAAACGTAAAAGAAATGATACAATAAAAAAACAAAATATATAAGAAATAACTAACAAATAAAACATCTACTAATAGAGCAATATATCAAAGAAAAAACGAGGAAGTACGCAATAAAATAAAAAAAGCAAAAAAAAATTTCTGGGAACAAAAATTTCTTCAAGTTGAAAATTTAATTATTGGTTCTCAGACTACTACGGAAGCATGGAGAACTATCACTAATCTAAAGAAAAACACTCATAACTCCTTAAGCAACTTAATTCCTATAGAAAAGTGGGAAAATCACTATAAAAACTTACTCCAAGAGTCCAGATTGGAATATATGGGAGAGGAATATAATATGGAGAGACAAACAAATAGTACCATTAATACTACTAACAACGAGGTCCGTACTGCGTTAATTAAAATGAAAAACGGACGATCTCCAGGATCTGGCAGTATAGCTGTAGAGTTACTTAAAGCAGGAGATCCAATTCTAATAGAACGAATATCTTTTTTAATGAATCAATGATGCCAAAAAATTAAAGTTCCATCTGAATGGAAAACCGCTCGCCAAGTGGTTATCTTTAATCGAAAAGATCCTAACTGCTACAGAGAAGAGTGTCCTACCTACTTTCGGGAGATTGTTTGGAAAGATAATAAATGGGAAAATACAAGATAATGTAGAACATCTAACTAACGAAGACCAAAGTGGATTTACGCCTGGTAGATCTTGCACTGAAAATTTGTTTATAGTCCAACAATTATTAGAAAAAAGAATAGCGGTCAGTACCGAAGTACATCTAGCCTTCATCGACCTAGAAAATGGGCATGATACAGTTCCAAGATTTAAATTGTGGCAAGCTTTTCAACAACTCGGCATTAGTCAATACCTCTTAGGAATAATCACAGAAGTATACAGGGATAACACTACTTACATAAAAGTCGAAAATATACTATCAGAGCCAATAAAAGTAACTAAAGGACTAAGACGTTTATGCAGTTTATGCAATTTTTTATATGAATATGCAAAATCCCCAGATATTTGTATAAAATATATTGAAAATAGGCAATATATTGTTAAGATAAATTCTGACCCAAAACCGTAAATATATTTTACTAATATGTTTTTATTCATTCATGAATGTTCTAGGTAATACCTACCTGACGGAAATTCAGCCGAGCCGCTATAAAAAAACCAGTTCCAGTTCATTCGAGACAATACAGGTCAACATCCATGGGGTCTCCCCTCGACTATAATACCAGTATGACGTCACATTCCAGTATTTTCGACAAGGGTCAGGTCAGGTCTAGATTATTAACGGTGCTTTATATAAAGACGAAATTTTATTGAAGAAGTCAGTAAGAAGATAAATTCGGGCCGCGTATTTGAATGTACGAATGTAATTGGTAATAAATTATTTAAGTGTAAAATAAATTATAGGAAATAAAGACTTTAATAAATTATCGTGAGTTTTAATAAATTAGAATAAAGACAATAAATTAGAATAAAGATAATAAATTAGAATAAAGACAATAAATTAGGACTAATAAAATCATTATAATATGCATTTTGCATATTTTTCTAAGTCTACCTAAGTCTATTGAAGGTTCTTCATCTAAATATAGAATGCCGTCGCGCGCACACTTTTTTGATTTTTAAAAGCGCAGCTGCCCTAGGGTTAAAAAACCATTTTCCCAAAACCTGAAATTTGCTCGCTCATTCATGGTTTTAATTCATGGAAATTACCGGTCAGAAACATCTTAGAATGTGATTTGTGTTTAGAAAAAAGTATTTTAAGTTGCAATCGAACCTCTTTGTGAAAACCGAGTTAATGGAATAAGTTAGATAATGCTTATGTAAGCTTATGTAATGTTATATAAAATCATTGATTCAAACAAATTATATACCCGTATAGTTCAAATTTATTTTAAGTATTAAAACATCTTCAATAAATCTTACCTGATGCACCTTGCACTAATACCTTTTCCCCAGTAAACTCGATAAGAGGACCTTCCCAATGGGCTACTTCAAAGACGGTAGTTCCTTCAAAAGTCACAGTGGCTCCATGTCTTAAATGTAACTTAAGAGTTTGGCCTCCAGGTACTACTAAATTAGAAATAATTAAATTGGTACAGTCATTTACTGCTTGAGCTACTTGAGAAAACTGTGTAACTGTGCATGGATTACTTGTCGATAGTAATGGAGAATAAAGAAGTAACAAAAGCGAAAACTTGTTAAAATAGAACATTGTCTTTGAAAAATTTTGTGTTTCTAGATTCAATTGCAATATTGCAATATAAAACATTGTATTTATAATGTAAATTTAATCTATTTCCAGAAATAGGTTGTTTTTTAGTGATAACTATTATCTTAATTTATTTCAAGTGGTTTGTACTAAAAGTGTGCCTACAGTATATTAATATCAATATTCAACTGCTTTAAAATAAAACGCAGAATGCCAACAAAAAAATTAAGGACCTCTGCATTTTTCTTATGTAAAAGTATGTTTCAGTTAAATTATACTAAAACTTGGTAATGCTGATCAAAAGTAGTCATTGTCCCAAGACTCACAAATCAATTGTTTCTTATTGACGTTTCTTTTTATAAACATCTTATTTAATTTGCAATCAGTAAAATTTTACAATAGGCTAATGTTTATGGCAGTATTAAAACATTTAAGAAAACTATCCAGTGACAGTTTCCTTCAACTTATATAAGATTGGGTTTGGGAGAGGCGGGATATTTCTTCTTTAACACATTTTATTTTAAGATCACAAGCCATAACACTGTTAGTTACGTATCCTGGAGCATTTACGATAATCCTAAGTACTTTGGACTGAAAACTTTGTAGAATTTCGATATTTGAGTGATATGCTGTCCCCCACAATTTAGTTTTGTAGCTCCATATCGGTTTTAGGACCACTTAAAGAATAAAAACAAACTGTAAATTAAGAATGTGTTGGTGATTGTTAATTGTGATTTACGATCTTACATTCAGTTTATTTACTACATTTTAAGCTTAGATGCTTTCTCTTAGCAAATGTATGTTCTTCAAGTTATTCGTCAGTCCAGATGGATTTCCAGATATTTTGAATCTTTATGTTGCAAGAACTGACTAAAACTATGACGTTTAACGCCACAGTTGAACACGCACCTTTTCGTAGGATGTAGTACACATCCATGTACTACATGGATGTGTACCTGACCAAAAATGCTGCTAGTAGAACTTTCAGTAAAACAGTTGCGTGAGTAGATAGAAAAACGCGACTGCAGCGGGTCCAAGAAGATCCTTCAAGAACGACTGAAGGATGTTCTCAACAAGAATGGAGATGACCCAGTAAAGTTCCAGTTTTGAGTCAGCAAAAGAAGCTGTTTTAACGAAAATCAGATATGTTTCGCAAATGATCGAAGAAAGTTCTAAAAAGAATGATGAGAATGTGTCTAAAAAATTCGATGAAACATTTCAAATTATTAATGATAAATTTGGAAATGTTTCTCCAAACGATTAAAGAAACTTCTAGAAAAAATGATGATAGATTTGGGAACGTTTCCAAAAGATTCCATGAAACGTCTCAAATTAGTAAAAAAAGTATGTAGTCAGAACAATGAGAAATTCGAAGAACTTTCTAAAACATTCGATAAGGTAGAAGAGAAGATCAAACAATTAGAGACCATGATAACTAAGATGAAAGTGCTATCACCAGTTAATGCAGTAGTTTTAGATCCGGTAGTGAAAAAAGAATCACCTAGAGACAAAATGACACATCATATGAGATTCAAATTGCCATTATTTGATGGAAAGTCTTCTTGGCCCATATACCTTAGACAATTTGAAGCTATTGCGACAGCCAATCATTTGGCAGAACAATAAAAAGCTGTTTCCTTGACTGTTGCTTTACGAGGTGATGCTGCGAATATCCTAAGATCGATTCCTAAGGGTCAATAAAAGTGCTATTTTTTATACCAGACCTTGTTCACTCGACTAGACAAACGTTACGAAGATGCATATCTACAACAAGTCTACAAAGTACAAATAAGAAGTAGAATTCAACGAGCAAGTGAGAATTTGCAAGAATTTAAAGCAGATGTTGATTGTATAGCGCGGTTGGCTTATTCAAAGGTACCAGACAACATTTTAGAAAAAATTGCTGTAGATATCTTCGTCAATGGGTTGAGTCAATGAACTACAGAAAGCTTTACGACTAGGAAGACCGAAAGTTTTAGATAAAGCGCTCGCCATTGCCTTGAAACACGAGACAGCTAGTCGAGCTTCACGGAGCTATCGAGTTTGAACCTCTAAAGATAGCGGCGAATAAAAGGATAAACGTCTGAAGGAAATCGTATGTAAAATTAGTTCGTAACATGATGCCAAAGAGACGTGAACCCAGATGTTGGAATGGTGGCGATGTAGGTCACATTCGCCGTAAGTTGAAAGAAAATAATACAACAGTGAGAAAGCTAGAACAGATCGAACACCAGGATAAAAATAGTCATTCAAATGCTGATGCTTCAGTCAAGACAGCCACACAGTGCAAATTGTAATCACTGTCTTAAATTAGGAGAACGACTTTGCCCTGTGAGATGAACCACCGTCATTATTGATCAATGGCAGCCTCAACAGCTACAAGACGCTCAAGAGGATGATCCATGTATAAAAAGAGTATTGGATTGGATGCGTGGAAGTGAAAGACCTTCTTGACAAGACATTAGTGCATGCAGTCCAGAAGTCAAGTGTTAATGGAGCCAATGGAATTACCTAGTGCTAAATGATTATCTTCTTTATAGAACCATTGAGAACGATGATGGTACAGAATCTAAGCTTCAGTTGATTGTACCCAAAAGTAATGTGTCAGAAGTATTGCGTCAGTTGCATGGTTTTATTGGGTGAACTGTAAAGATGATGTAAGAAGATGGTGCCGGAAATGTGAACTGTATGCAATCAGTAATGGTCCAGTTGGTAAAAAAAGATCATGTTCAAGCCAAGATTATGTCGACCGCCTGAAGTTAAGAATGAACAACATTCGTAAACTTGCCCGACAACACATCCAGTTAGCCAGTGACAGAATGAAGGATCAATATGATTTTAGATGCAAGAATGAAAGCTATGAAGTAGGAGATCTTATTTGGCTTTATAATCCACAACGTCGTCAAGGCTTGTCTCCTAAACTGCAAAGACAGTGGGAGGGTCCGTATGAAATTAAAAAGAGAATAAAGGACATAATATACCGAATAAAGAAGTTGCCGAAAGGTAACCCAGAAGTAGCTCACATAAATCGTCTTGTACCTTATGCTGGCTCAAATGAAACAGAAGAAGCACAAACACTTCAACATGAGACCAAAGATGACCGGCCTCCAAGCTTTAATGAATTTAAGTTGAATTACGCAGAGAGAAAGAGTGCTAGATTCGGCGTGACCACATAAGTTCAGCAGGATGTTTTTAGTGGTTCGCATAACGTCTCTCTAGCCCACTGTGTTGTCTAAGATCTTAAGATGACTAAAGGAATCTCATTCGTATTTTATAAGAAGTTCGGTCGTTTAGACGAGTTAAAGCAGCAGCCGGCGAGCAGCCTAAAGTTGAAAGAGTACTGAGATTAGAAGATGGTCCTCGATCTTGGCTGTATATGTTGACCAGGAAGTCGTATACACAAGACAGGACAAGCTACGAGGATATATGGCGTGCTCTAAATAATTTGTAGAAAATCGTGTGCAATTCTGTCATCAAGAATTTGGCCTTACCTAAGATAGCCATGCGCTAGAAAATCTTAATTGGAAGAAAATCACTGCTTCAAGCATGCTTGAAGTGATCTTCCTAGAAACCGTCGTACAAATTACTGTGTGTTGCATTAATCCAAAAATGATCATGTCTTTCAAATAAAGTAGACTGTTATTTCTTTCTGAGAAGTTTATGCAGAGCTGGGAGTCCTGTATATTCTGCCATACTGGGCCTTCATGTAAAGTTGCTGATCGGGACGTTCAGATCTAAGAGGGGAGCAGTGTAACGAAATAGCCCATCTCCGATGCGGTTACGTCACAGTTCTTAGAAGTATGAATCTGGAATATACGATCGTTGGCATTCTCGATGCGCTTTTAGCGTGAAGAATAGAGGTGGACTACTCTTTAAAAACGGTACAATATGTATGAATCTTGTGACTTGGTTAACGGTAAAATGTTTAATAAGTAATTTCATAATTGTTTATCGTAATTGTTCAATAATAATCATACTCAGTAGCTTCTGCAGCTATTGAGTTTCTAAGATAGTTTGTAATTTCATTGTTTTTATTAGTATTAGTAAGATCTGATTAATGTAAATATATGTCCGCAAATGCTTCGTTTTATTATAGATAGGTGCGGGGTATTGTGAGAGGGGTGGATATTATCATCCCCTTCTATTTGCTATGTCGCATGTTACGATTCAATTAGTTGTTTACTTTGTACTCACTAAAAGGCCTTCTTTACGTACTTACATAATTTAAAATTTGTCTTGTAGTAAACCTATTTGTCTTGTAGTTAACACCATATTAACTATGGTGCCCAATGATATCTTGCATGTCGGTATACATTCATTAATAATTAGGATACTGCGAAGTGCCCTTTTATTAGTTGCCTTGTCCGTTTTTTATCTAAATAAATTTGTTATGTTCTCCTCTTTCAATTATCATATAAAATGCTCCAATCGGGCCAATAACAACGGAGATATGATGTGATGCCCTTTTGGCAATGCCTCCACTTGCGTTTTTGTCTCACTATATTAGCTATCCCTTCTCTAATGTATTATACGTAATGAGCAGCAGAAATATTTTACTTCCACCACATAACACTAAATTGAATACCATAATTCCAAGTCGGTGTTATATTAGTTTTGTATATCAGTTGTATGTTTTCGATGGAGAGTTGTGATTTTATTCACAACTAATTTTTATTTCTATAAGCCAATAATACTGTTGCAATTTTAGACCTAACTGTTTCCTTTAAGATGCGCTTCTGTCATGTTAATCGAGGTCCACGTATATCCCTAGATATTAACCGTGGCCGAAAGTTGTAGTCTATTAAATGTGACTGGTGGACAATTATCTCGTTTCATAGAAAATGTTACATAAACAGATTTACTAATATTTGCTTGTATATGCTAAATATGTAACCAGTATTATATTTTAAGAACGATTTGTAAGCCTCTAGAGGTAGCTTCAGGTCTGATTATGTAATGCCATAATAACAGTGTCATCAGCATAGGTTGCAGCTATCGTAAATATGGTTGCTGTTAGATCGACAGTAAAATAAATAAATAAAATAATAAATAACAAGTATTGAGTTGGCCCTAGTAGACTTCCTTGCGGTATCCTGCAGAGATAAGAAAAATTTCGGATTCGGAATTTCGGTTTTATTTTTTAAAAAAAAGGCCTCATGCCATAATTTATCAAATGCCTTACTTACGTTTACAAAAACTGCACTAGAATTTCTTTTGCCTTCTAGGTTGCAGCTGATTTTATCCATCACACGATGAATCTCTTTCACGGTGCCATGCTTGACTCAGAAACCAAATTATAATCAGTTATAAGTTTTCTTTTATTGATTTTCTCCTTCAGTTGCTTAAGTATAATTTTCTCTAGTAATTTTGACATAATTGACAACATATTTATTGGCATATACGAGTTTAATTCTTCTGGTTATTTCCAGGTTTCAGGATAATTATTATTTGGAATATTTTCCAGAGATAGGGAAACCACAAATACTTGTCGAGTTTTGCAGGCTTAAACGACGATGAAAACAAGGCAATTGTTTTACTATACTTCAAATATTGTTAAATAAAGACAGACTAGTGGGAAAGAAAACGAAATTATTTTATATATAATATATTATACGTCTAACAAGTAAACTCTGTTGGTTGAAAATTGCAATAATTCTTTCCACCCCCTAAAATATTAATATTTGACCAACTCCAATTCTGACATTTATCATTATTGCAAACGACATGGACAGGGCGTGTTAGAACTCCCTGTACAGACCCGTAAATATTTGACATTTTTAAATTTCTTATCTCAATTTCTCTAGAATAGTTTCCTATGTCCCCATAATCTTGGTTTATATAAATTCCATCTTCAGTGATACCTACAAATATACAAAACATATAAAGTATGTACTAACAGCATCGATATAATAAACAGGAATGGAACATGTTGATAATTTTAAATGTAGCTGATACAGCTGATAAACGACGGAACTGATGTCACATTACTAGCTACAATGCCCGACGTGAATTTGGCAGGTGATTAACGTGGATGTAGTTATCCCCGATATTTTAATCATAAACAGGTAACATTATGTGTTAAGTCAATAATGTCATGTATTCTTTTTAATGGTACTGGCGTGCCATGCGCAACTACGTACCTGTAGTACCTGTAATACACAGTGCTAGTCAAAAGTCCATTTCCCCCCACCCTCTTATCTTTTGAACGGTTATACTTATAATAGTGAAATTTGGAGTGAGGTAATCAACCTAATCATGCCTCTTAATTAGTCATAACCCGAGATGTAATAGTGACAGATGACGTTACAGCGCCACTGTGATAGATAATTTTAAATAGGACTTTATAACAAGTGAAACCTTGTTTGAAAGATATTGAAAATACCTATTCAACCATACTAATTTTATTTGAGTTTAAGCTTATTTTAATAAATAAAATAAATAGATACTAAAATTGTAGTTTGGCATTTAATTAAAAAAATTTTAAGGTCCGCCTTTGATTATTTGTCAGAAAAAGTTGACGTTTCTGCTTAGTTTAGTCAATTCAAGTTTCGTCAAGTTGTTTTTAGTTAGTTGTTCTTAGTTAACATTTAGTTTAATTATTGTTTAACGAGATGTTTAAATTTTTACAAAGGCAGAATAGTACGTACTGTAGCCGACAGAGTAGCAGCTGTATTATTAATTGGTGAATGTGTAAATAACTTCCATGCAGCGAAACGTCTTTTTAATAATAGGTACCCCGATTGCCCTGCATTGCGAGCTTATTTAACGAAGCTTCTTCGAAAGTTTAAACAAACAGCTAGTGTTCAAGATGTCAAACGATCTAATCGACCAACAATCAGTGACGACAAAAAAATTGACATATTTCCAGAAATAGTAGTGAACCCTACTTCTTCTACAGCCCAAGTTACATATATCTATAGAATCAGTCAAAAGACAGTACACCGAGTGTTGGCTGAAAACAAATTTCATTTTATTTCCATACAAATTAAAAATTGTGCAAAAACTTTCCGATGATGACCCCGACCGAAGACTAGAATTCGATGAAAATATGTCCGCTAAAATCAACCAATTGCCCAATTACATAAAAACAAGTTGTTTTAAAAACGAAAGTACTTTTTCTCTCAATGGAAATGTTAACACACACAATGTGAGGTATTGGAGTGACACAAATCCTCACGTCTTTTGTGAAACACATTCTCAATTTTCAAAAAAAAAATGTTTTTTGTGGGCAGGCATTTTGGAAAACCATATAGTTGGGCCTGTTTTTCACAATACTAATTTAACCAATGAAGTGTATGTGAAGATGTAACAAAATGCAATTTAACCGTTAATAATTGAAATTCTGGAGGATAATTCAGATACATTCGGCAACTTGAAAATAATGTTTCAACAAGATGGTGCTCCTGCACACCATTATGGTGAAGTAAGACGTTACATAGATGAGAAATATCGTGGTAGATGGATTGGACGACGAGGTACGATAGAATGGCCAGCTCGGTCACCGGACCTCTCACCATTAGATTTTTTTCTGTGAGGATACTTGAAATCTAAAGTTTACGCTACAGCACTCGACAATATTGACATTTTGAAACAACGAATTGTTGAAAAATGTAGAGCATTTCCCCCGACACATTTGAACGAGTACGGCAAGAGTTTAGAAATAAGATGCATTACTGTCAGGAAGTAGATGGAGCACATTTTGAACACTTAGTGTAAGAACTGGTTGTTAAATATTTATTTATTAAATGACAAGCTACAAATTTATTATTCATTTAATTGATTCATCAAAATTATTTTTTAAACTTAAACAAAATTATTATGACTGAATACGTATTTTTAATATCTTTCAAACGAGGTATCACTTGCCATAAGGTCCCATTTAAAATTATCTGTCACAGTGGCGCTGTAATGTCATTTGTCACTGTTACGTCACCTTTTATGACTAGTTGAGAAGCCTACGTTTGTTTATTACCTCCCTTCAAATTTCACTAGTTTAACAATAACCATTCAAAAGATACGAGGAGGGAAACAGACTTCTCCCAAGCACTGTATATATATATATATATATATATATATATATATATATATATCTTCTTCTTCGGGTTCCTTCTTCTAGCGGAGGTTGGAAATCATCATCGCTATTTTAACTTTGTTGGCCGCATTTCTGAATAATTCTAATGAGCTGCAGCCGAACCACTCTCTCAAATTTTTTAGCCAGGACATTTTGCGTCGTCCTGGGTTTTTCTTCCCTTGTATCTTCCCTTGCATAATCAACCTCAGTAATACGTACTTCTCACCCCTCATTAAATGTCCCAGATATTGAATCTTTCTAATTTTAACAGTTTTTATGACTTCACATTCTTTCTTCATTCTTTGTAACACTTCTATATTAGTTACTTTTTCAATCCACGATATTTTATGCATTCTCCTGTAGCACCACATCTCAAAGAAGTTTAATTTTTTGATTTCAGACTGCTTTATTGTCCACGCTTCCATGCCATATAGTAAAGTAGAGAAGACGTAACAACGTAGCATTCTTGTGCGAATCTCTAGATTAAGGTTACGGTTGCAAAGTAATTTCTTCAATTTTATGAACGTGTTTCTTGCCATTTCTATTCTAGATCTGATCTCCTTTACTTGATCTCCATATTCGGTTAGCCACGTTCCTAAATATTTATATGTTTTTACTCTTTCTATCGTTGTATTATTGATGATCAGGTTATTTACATTTTGTGGTTTTTTTGAGAATATCATTGATTTCGTTTTCTTGAGATTCATTTGCAGTCCGTAACTTTCACATGCATTGTATACATATTGTATTATGTACTGTAGATCTTCCATGTCACTTGCAAATATGACAGTATCGTCGGCATATCTAATATTATTAATGCTATTTCCGTTGACATAAATACCTTCCACGATATCCAATAAAGCCTCTTGAAAAATCACTTCACTGTAGACGTTGAATAAGAGTGGTGAAAGGATACACCCTTGTCGAACTCCTCTAAGTATACTTACTTCCTCTGTCAGTTCTCCTTCGACTCTTACTCTTGCTTTCTGGTTTTGATACAGATTCGATATAATTTTGTAGATCTCTACTATCAATGTTTTTAGTCTTAAGAATACTTAAAAGCTTCTCATGTTGAACTCTATCAAAAGCTTTCTTGAAATCTATAAAGCAAGCATATATGTCCTGATTCATATCCAGGCATCGTTGTGTCAGAACATGGACTCCAAATAATGCTTCTCTAGTTCCTAGACCCTTTCTGAAACCCATCTGTGAATCACTTATTTCTTGTTCTAATTTCATGTGGATTCTGTTATGTATGATTTTAAGGAAGGTTTTCAATGTGTAGCTCATTAACGCAATTGTTCGATAGTCATTGCAATCTTTAGCATTTTGTGATTTTTGGAATCGTCACAAAAGTTGAGAGAAGCCACTCTTTGGGTATGTGTCCCGTCTTGTATATCGAGTTAAAAAGGTCTACCAAGACATCAATAATATCTTCATTAATTATCTTCAATAGTTCAATTGGTATTTCATCGGGCCCTGGAGCTTTTCTGCCTTTTGTGTGTTTTATAGCATACATAACTTCCTCTTTCATTATTTCTGGTCCCGTGATTTCTCCGTTAACTTCTAATAATTGTTCTACTTTTTGATCATAAAATAGTTGTTCAATGTATTCTTTCCATCTACGTAGTTTGTCTTGCGTTTCAGTTATAGTGGTACCATCTGCATTTTTTAATATCCCGATTGGTTTGTTACGATTTCCTGAAATCATTTCTTTAACCTTCTTATGGGTGTTGAAAGTGTCATTATATATATATATATATATATATATATATATATATATATATATTATATATATATATATATATATATATAATATTATATATATATATATATATATATATATATATATATATATAATATATATATATATATATATATATATATATATATATATATATATATATATATATATAAAGCGATAAACGCTTGTAATCAACGCTAATCATTTAAACTACAAACACAACTATTTGGGTATGCAGCGGAAGATAGGACAAAGAGATACTCTTTTTAGTCTACCAGGCTTTCGCAAATCTTTATTTGCATCATCAGGGTGCTACACCAAGATGGATATTTAAGTATTTTGTGTCGTCTCCTTACTTAATTGCCTGCCATTGGGTGTGACCGGAGGGTATTCCCTCGTTTCTTTGTGAAGGTTGCATGTGTTGACTTGGTCTTATTTACTCTAATTTACCATTTTTTTAGTCAAGTTTCTATTTTATTTAGCTTATCTTGTAAATGTTCTAATGCTTTTGTGGGATTAGAGTCCATGGCCAGTATTGCGTTGTCGTCTGCAAAAGTAGCAACTTTTGTGTTACTGCTGGATGGGAGGTCTCCAGTGAACATCAGAAATAAAACAGGTCGTGGCACGCTTCCTTGTGGAACACCTGCCTTGATAGGATGCTGCTGAGTGTATTTATCGTGCTGCTTTATCAAGAAGTATCTATCCGATAGGTAGAACTTTAGTAGTAGAAAGAAAGGACATGCCAATTGTTTCTTTATTGATTGGATTGATTGGAATCAATATTATCAATAAAAGCTTTTCAAATATCTTTAATAGAATCCGTAGGAAACTTATAGATCTATAGAATTTTAGTTCTTCTGGTTTTTTTCCAGGTTTTGGTGTCATGATAATCTGTGAAATTTTCCATTGACTCGGAAAGTGGCCTGCAGTGCAGATATTTGTAACCCTTTATTTTACATTCTAGTAATTACATATCCATTAATGTACATGTACATTAATAACTTGCCTGTTATCAGATCAAACCCTGGGACATTTTTTGGTTTTGTGTTTTTCATAATTGTAAGAAGTCATGAATCTCGCCAAAATTGTCGTTGGGATTTGGTTCGTTTGGTTCAAAAACTTTTACTAGGCATTCAGCAAAGGCTGCGGCTTTTTCCTTGTTATCACTGGCCCATTTATTCTGCATGTCCCTTTTTAAAGAACAATATTGTAAGTTTAAGCTTTTCTGTTGCCTTCCAAAGTGAGTAGTCTGTATCTTCAGAGACTGCAAGATAACTTAAGTAATCCTCAATACCTTTGTTTTGGATATTATTTAGGAACTTTGTTAGATCTTTCGTAGCTCTGTTTAGTTTTGCTTTATCGCTTGCGCATTTTGATATTTGCCATTTTTTTTTTTCATAGTATTTTGTGTTTAACTGTAGGTTCCAGATTTTGTCCTTGTTTATTATAGTCACTAGTTGGGGCTGCTGCCCACGCTGCTTTCTGCATAGCTATTGTAAATTTTCTTGTTGCTTTTTCTATTTCTTGTGGCGTTTTAATGGAATTTGCAGATTGATTTGTGCATCTAAGTGTTCCCTAAATTTTACCCAGTTTGTTTTTATAGTTATATAGAGTAGTTTGTGTTAGCTTTTTATTAATTTTTCTATTTCTTGTGGCGTTTTAATGGAATTTGCAGATTGATTTGTGCATCTAAGTGTTCCCTAAATTCTACCCAGTTTGTTTTAATAGTTATATAGAGCAGTTTGTGTTAGCTTTTTAATAATTTTACTAAACAGCGAGGTTATTATTGGCGAGTGATCCGAGGATAAGTCTACAGAAGACTCAACCTGAAAATAATTTTTACTGATTCCTTTTATAATTAAAGAGTCTAGTAGATCGGGTACTCTTATTGGATCGCTGGGCCAATAGGTTAGCTGACTAGTACCAAAGTATGTTGACTTAAAAGCATAAATGACAGACAAAATTAACAACACTGATATAGCAAAAAGGATAGGTACAATTAGAATCAAAAAATGCTTCTATTATTGCAGAACAGAACGAAATTAAAATTAACGTGAAACAATTCCCAAATAAAAATCTACAGGACTAGCTTATATCTTTAGTAGGTAACCTATAATAAGGATAATATATTATGAGGAGACCGCTTGAAGGATGGAAAAACCGCATATTAATAAATGTCCAATGTTATGCTGAAGAAGAATATTTGAAGTTCAGTGGACCGACTATAGAACCAATAATAAATTCTATTGTGAGCAAACTAAAGATCAAGAGGGGCTCTTCGACAACATCCAACTGCAACAATTTAAATATTTTAGACATGTCAGAAGGTCAGATATAGCTAATATGGAGAGACTCATTATTTAAGCTCAAATACCACAAGAAAGATATCCAAGAAGAGGGATTGACCAGATGGCAAAAAGTTGCAGAAGATTTATACATGATATAATAGAAATGACCAGAGACATAAGTCCATGGAGAAGGACCATACATGATATGACGATGACTACTACACTACGTGCAGGGGGCCAAGACTCTAAAGAGATAGAGAGGGAAAAAAAGACAGACAGGTAATTCATACCTAACAAACATTAAATATGACAATAAAACTATATTAAAACCTGAAAGGAATGTATTAAGAGAGATATATTGACAGAACAACGAATAATGTGAACTAAAAATTAAACATGGAAAAAACAAAATGCATAATAAACTAAGTCTCTTAAAGGAAATGCAAAGTAGATGAGTTAGTTTGATAGAGCATACAAAGGTTGACGATAAAAGACGTGCAAAAAGTATTGAATGTCAATTTATAGATATAAAGATCAAGAGGACAACCGAGTAGAAAATGATTGAATATAATTTAAGACCTACAAGAGCCGCGAATAAAATTATAGAAAGTTACGTAAGAAAACCTGGGAAATTAACTGTGAAGATTCAAGTAGTTATATGTGGTTGGTGACCAAACCATTGAAAAATCAAGCCTATAGAAGCCCTAAGGGAAGACCATGGTTATTTATCTGCTATTAGTAGACATTGATGATAATAATAACTAAAAACAAACCATATTTAAGTAAAATGTTTAATAAATTCATACTGAGCTCATTTTAATCTAATCAACAATATTTTTAAAGAAACGCTGATAAGGTATAAGAATGGAAAATGCTTTAAATTTGATCGTACTATTAAAATGGACAATTAGTTTAGATAGACCATTCAGTGCATCATAAGAATTGAATCAACTGCAATTGAGAATTGAATAAAACTCGACTACAAAGGAGATATTAATTGGAAATAATCCTAGTTTAATATGTTTATATGTTTAATTTATGTTTTAATCAAAAAGGGCTAGAGAAGCATATAGAAAAACAAGAAAAATCAGAATGCTACAAGTTTTATATGTATTTATATAGCTTTTAAAATTACCTGATAACCTAATATTCTCATAAGTTACGTCAGTTACTATCCCTGTTCCTTTTTTCGTTTTAACGTGAATTCCATAAAGACCATTTGCTACGAGACAATCTGAAAAAGTTATATTTCTTATAGTACCCGATGCGGCACTATCATTATTGCTGTTTCCGACGGAAAAGCTTAATCCATGGCTGCCGTAACATTCCAAGTTTCTAAACACCATATCAGATCCCGAGTTGACAACGACACAATCGTCCTGGTTCATAACTACTGAGTTTTCTATAAGAATGTTTTGACCATTTCCTATGCCAAAGCCATCCGTATTTAAGCCTCCCCTCTAAAAATTCAAAAATTAAGTGATAATATATTATACAATAATTAATCACTTAAAAGTCTAATAAAAATGACGAGAAATCTAGAAATTTAAATACTTCACTACATATCAGTCATAAATCGTATTAGTTAACACCATTTATAACTAAAAAAAAAAACGGCTGTACTAATTTTAATGATAATTGGGTTTGTGCTTTAGTTTCAGCATCGAATATCAGAATAACTATTGCATTATGGTAAAAGTTTATTTTTGTAAATTTTTGTTTATTTCTAAAAACATTTTGTTTATTTCTAATGTATCACAATTTAACAGACTTTTTATCTTAACAAGTTGTGGGTTGTTACTCTGTCTGCAAATGCAATTTATGCATATTAATTAACACAGACATGTAATATTGGCATAATTACTAAAACTTTTTTGATCTATAACTTTTTGATCTATATCCTTATAAGAGAGCACTCTAATATGGGCTTTTTATAATTTCAACATTTAATTTACTTTGTACCACAGACCTGATGATGCTTTGCAAATTTTAGAAAGCGAAACCGGTCGTCTGAGGTAGTAAAATTAAATTAATTGTGAGTAAGTCTAATTATTTCTTTTTCACCTTTTTAAAATGGACTCACATAAGCAACAAATTCATGATAAGAAATTAGTTATTTATACTAAATGATTTTCCAATCCTGGCACTTTGAGTTTTATCAAAAATATCTAGCAAGAGAAATGTAGAGTATTTCTTAACAAACTTAGACTAACTAAAAACAATATTGATACACATTAGTGTTTAGGTTTAAACTTCTAAATATACAGGGTGTTTCACTTTACCACCGTTCACGAAACATGGAAATTGTGTTTTTATTATGTTAGTAAATATGTAAATTATGTAAGTTTTTATATTAGATTTATACAATGTTTTTTAATTCTAATTTCATTGTATTTACTGATACCATATTTTAGCATATCCTGAAGAAGCAAATAAATTTTGCGAAAGCTAGATAAAAGAACGAAGAGTTTCACTTATCCTGCCCTATTAATGACTGCAACCCCAAAATAAAACTTTATATATATAATATATAAAGTTTATACCTAACTACTTTATCTATAATACATACATATATATATATATATATATATATATATATATATATATATATATATATATATAAGTAAATTTTCAATATTGGGTTTGCAGCAATAAAAATGATACGTGTACTCTTTTAAATTTTTATTCCGAGCTTTCGGACATGGTTATGTCCTTCATCAGGGAGCTACAAATGTGATGAATAGTTTGTTACAGGTTTGTATAATTAATTAAAGATTCGCTACTTACAAACTTAATGAGGTTGGATCATCAATGATTTTCTACAACGTCGATAAAACTTATCACAGTCTGTCATATTTTTACATAAAACTTATTCCTATATTTAAAATTTTTAAAAATCGCTTTACAATCACAAACACTTACTTATTATACACACATTTCTGATATTTTTATTCTTAATTTGATTATATCGTCATTAGTTTTTTCTCAAGACAATTCAGTGGTTTTTATTATTAGATACTAGTACCAAATTATTGGCCTATCATTAGATGTATTATGGCAATATAAATTATTTTATATTTATTAATATCATAAAGAAGTGAAACTTTAACTTGTCAATGTTTCAACACAAAATTTATTAAATTAACCTAAAGATATAAGGTCATAATTCTAAAATTATAACATATCTTTTATAAATTATATCTTTAGGTTAATTAATAAATTTTGTGTTGAAACATTGACAAGTTAAAGTTTCACTTCTTTATGATATTAATAAATATAAAATAATTTATATTGCCATAATACATCTAATGATAGGCCAATAATTTGGTACTAGTATCTAATAATAAAAACCACTGAATTGTCTTGAGAAAAAACTAATGACGATATAATCAAATTAAGAATAAAAATATCAGAAATGTGTGTATAATAAGAAAGTGTTTGTGATTGTAAAGCGATTTTTAAAAATTTTAAATATAGGAATAAGTTTTATGTAAAAATATGACAGACTGTGATAAGTTTTATCGACGTTGTAGAAAATCATTGATGATCCAACCTCATTAAGTTTGTAAGTAGCGAATCTTTAATTAATTATACAAACCTGTAACAAACTATTCATCACATTTGTAGCTCCCTGATGAAGGACATAACCATGTCCGAAAGCTCGGAATAAAAATTTAAAAGAGTACACGTATCATTTTTATTGCTGCAAACCCAATATTGAAAATTTACTTCCTTGTTGTCAGCAAATACTTCTAGTTCATTATATATATATATATATATATATATATATATATATATATATATATATATATATATATATATATACTCCATTGCAATTATTTATTTTAGTTTAACCATTTTAAAAAAATCTAAAATTGGTACCAGGTAACAGCCATACTTGTTTTGTTTTTGTTTTACTTGTAACCTCTGTATTACTTTTTGTGCATAAAGATAAACAATACAAGCCATACAAAGGCTGTAAAGTACAAGGATGACTTGTAAGATGTAATTTTACATTGAATTCGTGTTAGTTTAAGGAATCCTAATGTACAGATGAATGAAGAGATACCTAACCAGATTTTCAATTTAATCTAAGACATGTATTACATACATTTATTAATAGTGTATTATTCATTTATTAGTTCGTTGAATAACGAACAATTTTAGCAGCAAAGGACAAAGATAAACATAACTTAAATATTAAAATTCAAAATCAAATCGTAGTCCACTGCATTCCTTCAAATCTATCGACTGTGTAACAAAGGAAGACGTTTGTTTGATTTTTAACTGCACAATTTACAACTAAAGGTTGGCTCGTTTTCTCATCATAATTTAGAATCTAAATTAACAGGACGCGATTGGTTGTGTGAAAACTTATAGCAATATAATATGCGCGACGATAGTCAAAGGTAATTTTATGCGTGAGGAAGTTCTATTGGACCTCTTCTGGTAGAAGAACAAGGAGTCAGATTGATCACATCAAAATAGATTAAAGGAATGAAACAGATGTAATAAACTGCACAAGTTATAGAGGCACAAACATAGACTCAGACCATTGCCTAGTGATCTCAACATTAAGGGCTAGAATTTTAAACACCAGTAAAGAAAAGAAAATGGATACAAAAAAATGGAATATGCAAAAGCTGAGAGATTCGACAATTGCAGAACAGTACTCGGAAAACATTACCAATAGGATAAGTAATCAAAATGTAAATGAAGAAGGCCAGACAGATATAGACTTCTACTGGACCAGAATAATGGAAGACATTAAACCAGCAGCAAAAGATGAAATGGGAACAGAAATTTGTGCCCATAAAAATTATTGGTTAGACGATGAATGCACGAATGCAACAAAAGATAAAAATAAAGCCTACAGAAAGATGCGTACCCGACGAACTAGAACAACTGTAGAGAATTACCAGACAAAGAGAAGAGAAGAAAAGAGGATACACAAAAAAAACGAAACCACCTAAATACGAAACTTAAATATATAGCAAACCTTAACGGAGAGAAAGTATTCAGAGCATTCTATAGGAAAGTTAACATCAACAGAAAATAATTCAAGTCAACCACAAGACAATGCAGAAGTCAGAATGGCGACCTATTAACAACAAGGAAAGATTTATGGAATAGATGGGTGGAATACTTTAACCAAGCACATAATATGGAGCAAGAAGAAGAAAACCTGGAAGACGAAAGGAATGAGGTAATAGAAGCAGACGAGAGAGAAATGGAACTACCAACGATTGTTGAAAATTAAAGATGCATTTTAAAACTAGCCAGAAACAAATCACCTGGAGTAGATAATCTCCCTGCTAAACTATATAAAGAAGGTGGCCATGATACCATTATGGCATTACAGCAGCTTATAAAAGAAATATGGACACATAAATTCCTCCCTACACAAAAAAGGAGATATCTTTGAATACTCTAACCACAAAGGCATTACGCTTATAAATGCAGCGTATAAAATATTTTTCACAGTACTATGTCACCGTATGGCACCATATGCAAACCGGATAGTAGGAGAATACCAGGCTAGTTTCAGAGGTGGTAAATCGACAATTCATCAGGTTGCAAATCTGAAACAATTTTTGAAAAAACACTGGAATAGCATTGATAATCATTACATATTTATAGATAACAAAGCAGCATACGACTTTGTGAATAGAAGAAAAATGTTTAAAGCAATAAAATAGCTAGGAATACCAAAACAGTTCGTAAATTGAAAAAGTTAAATGTAGAGTACGAATTCAGGGAAATCTGTCTGAACCTTTTAAAACAAATAATAGGATGCACCAGGGAGACCCTCTCTCCTCTATACGGTTCAATCTGGATCTGGAAAAAGTAATACGTATGTCACAAATCACAACTACTGGTTCAATGTATAATAAATCGGCTTTATTAATAAATACCATCAAAACGAAGTATATGAAAATAAGCATGCAACCATCAAATCCTAACGACGTCACGCAGTAAACGATCTGTATACTTGGGAGCGCTCCTTAATACTGAAATATATCGCAGAGATAAACCGCAGAATTTCGACGGCCAACAGATGCTATTTTGGTCTCAATCTCCTCGTTAAATCCACACTTATATTTAGAAATACAAAAATTAAGCTTTACAAGACAATAATACGCTCAGTCATATGGTTCAGAGACCTGGACTCGAACAAAAAATAATGAAAACATATTGGGATGTTTCGAAAGAAAAGTACTAAGGCGAATCTATGGAGCAGTGAATGACAATGGAGGGTGAAGAAGACGATACAACTTCGAACTTTATCGAATATACCAGGAACCTGATATCGTAAAACATAAGATAGGACGTCTGAGGTGGATAGGACATGTAATGCGGAGGGAACAAAATGACCCAACTAGAAAAACACTCCTTGATAGACCCATTGTTCAGAGAAGAAGAGGAAGACCCAGAAGAAGGTTCCTTGATAACATCGATA